CTCTAATAATGAAAATCGCCAACAGCTTTTAATAACCCTTGAAATTCAATTAGTAGGTATTTCCAATTGAGAATAATGAGAAATGTATCGAATTATGCATTTGCCTGTGTAACCGTATAATATAATTAATTATTACGTTGTACCTTACTTATAATCCATCTGTCTGCATCGAGTGATGTAAGTCTACAGGTAAAAGGTATAAATAAGAAAGAGTAGAAAATAGTTGTTTGAACGATCCAGCTGATTGGTTTGAATTTTTTTTGTTCGATAGAGCTCGAGTTAACGGGAAAGTGTTGGCTGGAACTCGAGTACGTCTTCAACGGTGGCGACGGCGGCGACGGAGTCACGTATCAGCGGGGCTGGCTGACAAAAAAGTCGAGACCTTGTGGCATCACGAACGTACTAACCGGGCACCGAGCAATTATATCGGTATAGCGCGAACACGAATGTGTCCATATTTTCCTGGTCGCTCTCTCTCTCTCTCTCTCTCTCAAGGCCTGTTCCTCACGATTACTTCCGTAAAGCTGCGCGTCTATAACAGGGAGTCTATACTAGGGAGAAAGAACATCGGCACGAGCGGATAAAGCGGCACCTGCACGATTTCCCCTGTGATGCACTGCATGAGCCGTGTGTGTGTGTGTGTGTGTGTTCCAGGTCTGCGAGGAAGATAGCATCTCTCGGATTCAGGAGCGCGCTTTGGTTTTCAACGGGCACGGCGCCTCCTACACGTTCAAGTTCGAGGGAAAACTCTTGAACCCGCGGCTTTCGCTCGCGGAAAATGGCATTCCCGACGAACGAGATCGCTATCTTGGCTGCGGCCTTCCCGACGACCACACCACCTACGTGCCGAATCTCCTCTGTTACTTCAACGACGATCTGACGGAACTGTGAGTTATTAGGTATTACCAACTTATGTGCTGCGTGGCCCACCAATCGGGAAATCACCAAGACAGGCTTTGTCATTTATCATCTCTTTATTATTCAACTACTTTATTATGTATAATTTCATAACACGACAAAGTCAATCATTTTACCGATCCTCCGATCTGGAAGTTCCTGCTGACTAGGTGCTCTTTGTCCATTCAAGCAAATTCCTTTGGTCAATCCTTTCTTCGACGGCCGTTGTTTTTACTACGCTAACTTTGACTGGAAAAAAAAAAAAAAAATAATAAAATAAAACAAAATTATTGCTAATGCGATATCAAGCATAACAAAATTAATTAAAAATCTGTGTGGAAAATGTGTGTATATATGAAAA